ACTTTCTTCTGGTAAAAACGACAAAATCCGAAGTTCAATAATACAAGCAAGAGGTATACTGTTTCAATTACTTTGCGCTTTATTATAACTTAACTTGATTAAAGGCTCAAAAGCGCCTATATATACATTGATAATTCAGTACATGTATTTGGTCTATGTTTCTATTTTGGAACATTGGGGCAAAGAACTATACTAGAAACTATTCTATTATTACGGCGTGGTCATTACGGCCAAAATAATGTACCAAATAGGAAGTTGCTGTACCAAACATTGTACATGTATCAAAGATCGCTCCAATATGGAATTGTTAACGTTAAACAAAAATAATGTACATATATTAAGGAGTGTTCAAATACATGTACATGCACATGTAATTATTCGAATTTTTCATTGCGTATACATATTACATGTAATATGTATGTTCCGGTAGTAAATTCTACGTGACAAATTTCTTTGTGTGTTTATATGCAGTTTTGCCCATGTTGTGATTATTTTGATAATTTGCCGCTTTATCTGGATTCAACGAAAAAAGGAAGCTATAATAAAGTTCGAATGGCGTTACCCCTTGTTTGTATTATCAACTTCGATTTATTGCATTTATATGCAGTTTTTTTAATTGTAAAAAAATATGACTGATTCTAATTGAGCCCAAGTTGTGATCATTTTGATACTTTGTCGCTTCATCTGGATCCAATGAAAAAAGGAAGACTATAATAAAGTTCAAAGTAATTGAAATGTGTTTACCCCCTCTTTGTATTATCGATTTATTACTTTGAACAGAAGAAAGCTAGTATTTTGTTACTCGATTTTTCTTTAAATTAATCCCAGTTGTATTCTGTCCATTTCTTAGGAATCCCGAAAGATATTCCATTCGCGACTTGGAAACTCCTCACGTTGTTAAAATAACATTATTACAGCTTTTTTGTGCTGCCCAACAAACATCCTGACCTCAAAATTCCGACAGTTCATAATTCGACATTTCATAATTCCGACGTACAAAATCCCGAATGGCACAAGATCCCGGCAGTCCAAGTTCCCGAAGTTTTGAACTATTAATTAAATAATTAACAGTGTCATTTGTGAAAATGGTAAGCAAATAGATTTTCTGGAACTCAATATTAATTTAAATATTAAGGTTAGGGTTAATATTGGGGTTAGAGATAAAATTATATGTAAATTTGTCTCACCGGCATTTTTTATTAATGCGCCAAGTTGAATTTAGGCATCTGCTGCCTGTATTTTCGCAATTTTTCATTTCTTGTTTGAATGATCTACCCGAGTTGTAAGATTGGAAGACCTAACCAATAGGATTTTTAACTATTCGGAATTTTGAACTGTGGGGACTTCGGGGTTTTTGAATTTCGGGATGTCAGGGTAGAACCATTTTTAATAATCATTCTATTCAGTTTATATAAATCTCCTCTTTATGTAGCATAATCTTTTTTTCTTCTTAAAATAATCTACAAACCAACTTTATAATCAATATTTAACATCAACAGCAACCATAGTTACTGGCACAATTCAATTAGAGAATTATTCTACCTCGGAAAAACTTCAGTCCTGATTAATGGAAAAGATAACCATTCCATTATGTAGATATAGAAAAAATGATCAAGACATAGTGAAATGACTGCGAGACTTTTAAGTAATGGCTTGTGCCAACAGTATTATTTAACATTCTTTTCAATTATACATCATATGCAATTGTTTTATCAGAATCTTCATCTTTATCGATAATACAATTACTAATTGTCATTCAATTCTGGTTCATTTTATTTTTCAGAAAAATCAATAATATTTAATTCATTTAGTATTAAAATAAACAGTCGTCTATTTTATTTCACCAAGTTGCTTGTTTACTTTGTAGATATCTGGATGATTGGTTGACATATCATACAAGCATACATGATAAAGACTATCATAATATCCTAATATTTTATTTAAATTAGTTAAATAACATAATTGAGGTAAAAACGGTAGGTTTTTTATTGAATCAACATGTATAAATTATTAGACTTACATACAGTATTTATTTTATTTATATGCTTTCAAAAATTCACCCTCTTGTGTGCTTTATTCAATACACATACAATATCTAATATATTAGAGTACCTTCGAATTACTGTATATCTCTTAACATAAGGACACACCCTAACTTTAAATGCAGATCTGAATAATAAAAAATAATAAAATGGCTTGTAAAGATAGTTGATCTCAAACACGTGTCTGATACTTACGCGCGTTATGTGTTATTTTTCATGAAATCGATAATTTTCCCTGCACATAAACATTTTATAATTCGATAGTATTTCAAATATTACATAGTTGCAGTGAATGCTGGTGTTGTTAAGCTATAAAGTAACTTCGTTAAGTGTTCAGTATATAACACTCATGAATGTATAAATTGACCAAAAATCTCCTTTTGCAAAATATTCAATCTTGGTAAATCTTTCAAAAGGAATCACATTCGAATATATTTTTATATTGATAATTAATTTTGTTACATTCTTTTATTAGAATGTCGATATCTTATCTCCGCTAGACAGTAGTTCATCGCAATAGATACTTCAGTCTTCTTTTATGTATATTAAATTAATTACCACTTGACTCCATTGACTTGTCCTTAGATTGAATATGAGAATTATATACAATGTTGCAAGTTTATTGTTAGCGAGGTCTGTTAATTTTAGTACGAGATTCTATCTCCGTTATTCAATAGAATTGATTTGCATCTGCTTTGCATGGAGGAAACTAAATTATTAACTACTGTATTTCCTGAGGAATTGCATCCCATTCCTCAGTCATAAATCGCATTAATTCATCTGTATTTTGTGGCATCCGTTTTTCAACATTATATTTCATAATTTGCCACATATTTTCAATAGGATTAATGTCTGGACTGTTGGATGGCCAGTCGATTAAGTGGATCAAATTTTCAGCAACGAATTCCTTAGCAACACGTGACGCGTGCTTTGGATCATTATCCTGTTGCAAATGCCAGTGGCTCCCATACATTCTTTGGGCTGCAGGTAGATGTTGGATTTACAATATTCTCACATAAAAAGGGCATCCATAATATTGGTAAAACAAAACAAGGGGGTTTTTCCCATTTGAGAAATGCCTCTCCACGCCATTACTTTCTGACGGGACTTGGGCAATTTTTGAATAGGTCTGTCTCCAGTTTTATGCCAACGGCGAATCTTGTTTCGGAAGAGATCAAATGCTGTCTCATCCATGAATATTGTTCAGTTCCAATTGTCATTCACATGTGCCTGTGCCCATGCTTTTCTCAACTCAATATGCCATTCTGTGGGCATTGGCATTGCTAAAGGCACAGAGCTTTATATCCCCTTTTTTTCATATAATCCCATACCATAACATGCGTAATCGATATATTCTACATGTTTTCTATTTTTGCAGCAAGTTAGCGGGTCGAAAGAACATTATTACGTCTGATATTCTGCCCGATAACGCGAGATACAGTTTGTGTAACCTTGGTTTTAATCCGTTTCCGCGCTTGTTCTCAATGGTACCTGTTTCTCTAAGTTTTTTGAGATTACGCTCAACTGTACGAAGAGGGATACCCGTTATCTCATGTATTATTTTGGCTGAATGGATACCGTTGAGCCAGTAATGTTTAATTGTCTGTCTTTGGGCTTCGAGCTGCGCGTTAACCATCTTTACAAAAGTGTAAACAAAAGAAAGTACAAAACTTTGGTCACTAGATATGGAATTGATCGTATTTGTAGTACAATTATTATTAATAACGCGTATTTCTTTATGTATTACAAAAAAACGCTTCTTATATCAATCGCCGCCGTTTTTTTCTTAACACACTGTAAATAAAAAGATAACCATTCGACTTTATTTATTATTACGCGACGCGGCAGCAAAGGTGAATTCACGAAAGTTTTCCGCAATACGTACAATCTGAAATACTCCTTGCTTGACGTTAATATTGATACTACATTTTTGTAGGAATTTTTTGGGAACACGTTACACTGCCATTGCATTATGATTACTATCATTAGCGCTTTAAAAATATATCAATTTTTATTAAGGCTTATAAAAATACATTGCTTCTATTCATGTGTCATATTTTCAAAATTTGTCATTATTGACTTTCTTAACAACATTATATTTTCTTTTTATTGAATATATTTCAAGAGGATGGATGGAATCGCAAAAAAAAGTCAAACAAAAAGAAAAAAGTGAAACTGGCACCGATTATTTTAATAAAATTATGAGGAAATTAATGATTTAATACCGGAAACGGAAATTACCTTATTCTCGAATATCCCTCACCAAAGAACGGCAGAAAAAACTACGAAGATTATATTGATGGAACCAAAGATCAGTATATATGAAAACTCACCATATAGTGCATCACCGTGTTGAGATCCCGAACGTAGTTATGCCTAAATACCCAGCTGCTACAACACCGCCTCCTCGACTGACATTCCAGCAAAAAATAAAACGTCAAATACGACGAGTCTTTTTTGTTGGTTTCGCTAATTTGAGAATGTTGTCGAAATCGGCGTTTGATCAAGTAATGAAGCAATTACTGATGGCAAAGATTCAGATCATACAGAAGAGAAGTTTTCCAATTCTCTTATTCTGCTACAGATAAAAATTATGTCAAAATATGGCATAGAAAAAGACAATGTCGTGAAGGTATTTTTGAAAATTAAATATGCTAATAATGAATCAATACAGCAAATGAGAGTGACAACATAAATCGAAAGACACAAAATTTAGATGAAAATCTTAATGAAATTATGAAATCATCCTATGAAAAAGTTTACAAAACCGCAAAAAAAAAAGAGCAAAGAGAATTGCAAATGTAATTGAAAATACTCTCACAAGTCAATTTACACCCTCAGAAGATGCAAGTTACGCTTCTCATTTGTCACGGGATAATAATGAACATACAAAAATGTACCAAGTGGGCAAATTTGCTAGTAATGAAAAAGATCAAACAGTTAATTTAATAGAAATAAGCGCATTATATTGCGCGATTTTGTTCTATATTTTCTTTATTTTGAGAATTAATCTCTGGCAGCAACGTAGAAGAACAGCAGTATTTGTTGGTGACGATTCAATCTAGATATTTAAATCAATGCAGAATATTTCTGCAAGTAATGACAAAATGTCTATTCCAAACGGACAATCAACACAGCAGCGAATGAACATTATAGGTGGTAACCGAGAGAATGTCTAAAGGTTTCTAATCATGATTCATTATTAAGAAGTCCAACTTAAAAATTAAAAAGTAGTAGTCACCACATCTAAATCAAATCAACATCGCACATTTTATCAAGCACCATCTCCACGTGATTACGAGTCTCTTATGAAACTTTGCGAAGCGTGCAATTTCTATATAATCACAGTACCCGTCGGAGTTCTTCTCCTTTCCATATTAGAAATAATTGGTCTATCGAATACCTTATCGCACATATCATATATCATTCTTAGTTACAGTACTCTATTATGTATTCATGAAGGATTATTTGGTCATTTATAGGAATTTGTTCTTGGATGAAAAGAAGTAGCACAGCAGATTGGCTGGATAGTGCTGGTGGCGGCAAGTTTTTCTTGCGGTTGGTTGGCATTGTCAAATAGTTTAGATTTATGAGGGAATATTTAATGTTATAGTTAGGTTGTTAATGAAATGCTCCGGTTTATATTAAAAAATATAACCCGCTGCTCCGGAGTGGGTTATATGTTTTAGTATATACTGAAGTACTCCGTTAACAACCCTAACTATAATACTTTTAGCTTTTAACATAAATCTAGTTAAAATCGAATTTCTCACAGCTCAAAGAAAGAAGTTTCGAAAGTGCAAATAGAATTCGTAAATATTATGAATGACCTCTAGTCATTACTTTCAGCCAACAATTATTTATTTTTCATGTTTAATTACATTTTCGAATTCAAAGCTACCTTAAAGTCTCTACTCTATTACATTAACAACACGAAGGTAAATTATATTTTTTAACTATTGTGCTCGCTTATTCAGAATTTACAAATTAGAAGATCTCACCTGTTTATAATAGTCATTGAATTTGCGTAATGCAAAATATAAAATAATACCTTTAGAAATTATTAACGAGTATTTAATCCACTGCATATAATCATTATGAAATATTTCTTTCTGTGATTATTTCCATTGTACTTGTATTGTAAAATATAGTAAATATTTTTGTGGATATCGTTCATTAGCTTGACAATTGGAATTTTTATATCTGACGTTAAATCATCACAAGTATATTTAATCCTAATATTAAAGTTCAAAGAACAATTATTAAAAGCATGGTTAACTAAAGAATTATAAATACGACAAGGGTTAAGAACTAGAATGAATAATTTACGCAAACTGGGGTTTCTAAAGGTTTCCTGCGTCAATTTACACGGAGATTGTGCAATCAAAAGGTAAAGGAACTTAAAGGGACGAAATTAAAGTATAATTTTCAATTCCAAATAACAAAAATATAATTTAATTCCAAATAATAAAATAACTACAAATAATATTCATCTAAACGGCAAAAATAGGTTTATTCCAAAACAATAAAAAAAGAATAACAATATCAAAATCAAATAATCAAAGAACAAAAACGATTCATCAACTTTTGTATGACCAAAACAATGAAGCCTTCAATTTTGTTAAGCACAAAGAAATAAATCTATCGAATTTGTTAAGATACAAAAAGAAATAAAGTAAGAATTTGAAGAATTTTTACAAAAGTTGGCATGGCTATGCTTCGAAACCAAGAATAGAATCAATTGTAATTATAAGGAAAATAAAGTATAATTATTGTGTACAGCACAAATGTGAATTTTGGTATGAATTTTGTAAGATTTTCTATGGATCAAGGGAATAATGTAAAATACAAATGTTTGCTTGAGAGTTTCCAATGATAATCACATTCATGAAGCGCAAAATAAGAATGTTTGTAAGAAATTCGTATTATTGGGAAAGGCGATGTGATGTTGATACTACAAAGTAAGAGTTTTTAAGATTTTTGCGAAGCGACATTAATGTTAATGTTATAAGATTGTATGGATTTTTTGGAATTTTGGTTGATACGGAAAATACGAATAATTACAGCAGTTACTCCTTCTAAAATAGGGACTTTTTTAAAGTACACAACTAGCCCTAATTCTGTAATATAATATAATTTTTATTGAACTTTATTAATGCCAAAAATACAATCTTTAAAGTTGCTTTCAATTTTTCAAAAGATAATCTCTTTTACTATTTATATTACAGAAGTTTAAATAATTGATAATTGATAATCAATTAGTTAGAAATAACGATCATTATTTTGTGATATCTACAATGAAAAATTGATTTTTATCAAAAACTAATTTAGGAAAAAATTAATTCTTTGTAAATAGAATACCTTGATAATTAAAGATTCAATTCAGAAAAAAATATTGTCATCCAATAATCTCATCAAGCTGAATTAAATGATGCTATTTCTAAATAAATCATATAACTGAAATTAAAATCTTGTATTATAAATCAAGATAAGCATCATTTTTAGAAAAGAAACTTTTAAAGCTTATATAAATATAATATGCTATAAGAATAGAATAACAAAGAGAATCAATATTTGAACTATTTCTTATATTATGAAATTTCAAATTATTTATTTTGAATTTACAGGAATAGATTACTTATAATCACTAAAAGTTTTATAATATATTACTAATTAAAAATACAAGAATTAATATTAAGATTCATCGTGTATTATTTTAAAATCTTTATAATCATAAATTTTTTGTTGTGATAATAATAGTATTCTTCAAAAATAGTAATTTATATTATATTTATATTATTTAAACTTCTAATTTTAATCATGAATAACTTTTATATATATTATATAGAAATTTGATACTAATTAATTTTAATACAAAGATTTAAATTCAAATAACATAATAATTACTGCATCAAATTTGATAAATTTTTTTTATTTAAAAGATAAAGATTATAAGTTTTAATTAATATATTAAATAATCTTTACTTTTTATAATAGCAATAATTCAATAAAATATATTATTAATAAGATTTTGATATTTATTAATATCTATATTTAACTATTTTTCTTGAAATATTTTTTATAAATTCTTATTATTTTTTTCTTGAAATATTTTTTATAAATTCTTATTATTTTTTGATAATAAGATATATATCCAAACTTATCTTTCTAGTTTATCTTATAAATTTTCAATTAAATTCAAATTTTATCTTTATGCAAATTATAAAATATTATCAGTTTTATTTTTTTCTTTTTAACTTTTAACTATTCTTATTATTACTATAATAATATAAATTTCTTTAATTTCATAATTTTTCAAACTTGGAAAATTTGATCAATCAATTGATCTTTAGAAGACATATAATTTTAAATAATATAATTTATATATTAGTTATAGATTCAGTTATGATATAATAATATTTTTGCAATATTCTCACAATGTTTTTGTAATGTTTTAAGATTATTAATGAATAATTAGTTCTGAAATCAATAACAGTTCTCAAATAGTTCAATAATAGTTTAGAAATATTTCAGAAATGATTCAATAATGAATTTTATTTATTTTATCATTTATCTTTTCTTTTTAGAATATATATCTTATCTTTTTATTTTATTTTATCATTTGTATTATTATTTAGCTTATCATATATATCTTATCTCTTATTTTACTTGTTCATTTATTGATTCTTTATCCCAAAAATTGTAATTATAATCTAAAATAGCAAATAAGTTTAGATAGAAACTTGTTAAATCTCAAAGATGTATAAATATCTCTGCTTTAAGACTTAAAATAAATATACTTGAATAGTAATAATTCAATTATCTTTTGAAAATACTTGAGTTATACTTATCTTATAATTTTTCTTTAATTTTTACCTTGATAACTTGCTTTCATTTATCTCTTCTATCATAATAAATTATATTTTGATTATTTACAAGTTTTTCTTGTCTAAAAAACTTAGATAATGGATGTCCTTCACTTAAAATAAGCCAAGTATATTTTATTTGATTAAGAAGATTCTTGTAAGCTTTTTCATGTATAAAAACTTTATTTTATTTTGATATATA